AATTGCTTTTTCACTTAGGAGAGTCATTAAAAGACTTTTGCAAGTACTCTGGATTACAGATTTCCAACAACTTTAAGATAATATTTTTGGACTGGATAAAGATTTCTCAGAACTCTAATTAAGCTGATGACTTCATGAAACTGCTATCCTAAGATCAAGCACAAGAAGAATTAATCACATGGGACTGAGTGAACTCACAAGGGTAACTTTTTTCAATGATTTTTTTTTTGTTTTAAATATTGCCAGCTTTTCAAAATGTTTTGTTTTCTAGATTTAAGGGAACTTTTTAAAGCTATCTGTGGCTTACAGCAACTTGGTAAAGTTTACTTTTGCGAACAAAAATTGAAACACATTTTACCTACTGATCCCTTCAGAATTTGAAAACTATTCCTAAATATTTTTATTTTTATAGTAATATAGTTGTGCAAATAACTACAAATTCAATAAGAATCAGTTCTCCTTATAACAAGATATAACTGGAAACACTTGTTATATTACCAAGGCTTTGGCTAGAATGTCATATTTTCAGATATTATGACAGATTTCAGAAACTAAGATTGGCTTTATAGAGCCAATAAAGCGCCTTGTAGAAAACCTGGTCTGACAGTTCTCAGACTTACCGGTAAGTAAAACATGTTAATTTTTGGAAGGCCTAATAATCCTGGGAAATTTTGAGGACCATATGAAGACAGGAGTTCACCCAAATCTGTGTTATGGTTCCAGCCTGATAGCAAGTTCTTGATTTTGCTTCTTGGCCTTAAAGTCTTTTTTCTGTTTTTTTTACAAGAAAAGACTCAGACTAAACTTCAATTCCTTAATAAAAATTCCAGCAAAGCAAACTGAAAAAGAGCCTATATGTTCGGTCACTAATCTTGCCGCACTTATGTAAATAACCAGGCCAAGTTTAATGTGACCAAACTTACTGTGCAAACAGATTAGCCTTACTTCGATGAGCTTTGATAGAAATTGGGTGACTGTACAGAGAAAAAAGTATGTTCTAGAAGAAAACTCTAGTGGCCCCAATATTAGATTCTGCCCTGTTTTCTTTGAGGTTTTATTATCTATCTTCATTCTGGACCAGATTCTGAATTCTTCTAATTTCTTTCAATATCTGACTATGATTCTCTGAACTAACATCTTCAATTTTCTTTCAGCCTTCTGGCTTGGAATCACTAAAATTAAACTGCTTTTTTTCCCGAAGCTTTGCAAGTTGAAGTTAGACAACTAGATAGAAACTTCAGAGAAACCACCACCAGAGCTAATGCGTGGACAATCTTCCTCACATCCAACTGCACACTGGAAAATTCTTCAGATTGCCACTGCCCGCCCTCACTTCAACTGAAGATGTTTAAAACCCAGCATCTAGAAATCTTCCTGACTGCCTGCCCTCTGGACTCAGAAACTGAATTTACAATTTGTTCCAGCTGTTAGTTTTTTTTTTTTTTTTGGTCTATTTTCTTAGAAACTAAACTCCCTTCATTTAAGTCTTATGGATCATATCATGCAGGAGATCTCCTCTGCTGCCAAGTCCCTACGGATGATTCCGCCGATCCTTAATGAACCAAGAGCGACTGAACAAGAAAGTGGACTTACATTGTTCAGAGAACAAAACGAATGTATCTTCTTCCTTTGAAGAAGAATGGAGGCTGACTCTTTCCTTGGCCAAAATTTACCCATGCCCATGAACCTTCAGCCTATACTGTGCACTTCCTTATAAAATCCAGTTTCATATCTATAATCCAGTTTTATATATATATACACACACAACCTTGCTAAGCCAGTTTAGCCAAGATCCCCACCCTTGATATCTGATCAGTTTCCTCATCCTCCACCCTCCCCCAGGTGACATCTGTTCCCCTGGCTTGTCTTCAGCAAGAATCCTGTTAGGTGGGTTTAGCCAGAGTCCCCCTACCCCCGATGTTCCCTCCTAGTCATTTTCCACCCGCTGAGTCCTACCCTGCTCTTCAGCTATAAATTCCCTTTTGCCTGGGCTGTGTTCAGAGTTGAGTCCAATTTCTCTCTCACTGCAAGACTGCACTACAGTAGTCTTTATACCTTTCATGATCATTTTGAACAAAGTCTTTTTTTATTGTGTTTTAACAAGTATCATTGAATAATTTTGTTCTTTGACAGTACCTTGATTTACACTGAAATCTGGCATATTACAAAAGAATAATATACTTACAGGGGAAGCTGACCTGAGACTAAAATAACCTCCCCACCCCCAATCAGGTTTAAGAATGCAGCAGGTTTCTTTGGAACCCTTGTGGGAGTATTAAATAAGTGTTATTTGTCATGCTTATGTTGCTGTTATTGTTCTAAACGGCTCTAGAATCTCAAATTAGAGGCTTTTATACCAGGTCACAATATCATAGTAAAGATCTTTTAGATTACCACAAGCCTTGAAGTGGTCCAGAGATTCTTGTGCCCAGTTACTAGTTCACAAGCTTTGCTTTATTCACCAGCACAGACAACCCTGTTGTCTAAGGAGCAGGTTATAAAAGGCACCACTTTATTCTCTCAAATGCTGTACGTTTTTCCTATCTCCCCAATTTTATTACTTTTGGTCCCAATTCTCTAAGACAGGTCTTAACATTTCCATTAGAGAGAGTGGGAAAATGAAAACATTTATGTAAAGTCACACAGCTAGGAGGTGTCTGAACTGGACTTTATATCCAGGTCTGCTTGATCCTAAATCCAGTGCTCTTCGATGCTGTTCTAAACTCTCCACTGGGAAGTTCAGAAGTCAGAAGAGGGCACCTGAAGCAAACACCAGGCAGGAAGATAGACCTTTGCTCCTTTCTGGGCCTCTGTACTTCCTCCAGGTTCACTGCCAGCGCCACCACATTTTCCCAGGACACTTCATTTCCTTGGGGTCTTTTTTTTTCCATCTCTACCTGCGTTTACTCTTCCCAAGTCTCTCCCTCCCAAGCCACAACAGCACCTTTGAGCTGCCCAGTGCTTGCTCCACTGAACCCAATTTGCTGTACTCAATTGGGACAAAACATCATTATATGTATGTAAAATGCCACCAAGTAAGATGTGGGGTGATGTTTTCCAGAAATGCATCAGTCACAGTCCATTTAGTGCCAAGGAAATTGAGTTTGAAGGCACTGTAATTATCATTATTGCCTTTGGATGGTTCTGTGCTGCTACATGCAAAATCGGTAATTTCCTTGACAATATTGCAGAACATGGTATGGACCCCTCACTCTTCTAATACTGTCACAGGAAAGAAAAAAAAAGACAAATGCCAGCCAAGCAGGCAGACAGACTCTTCCTTTACTGCAGCTCTCTCCACCCTTTCCAGATAATGCTCTGCCCTCTGAACAATTTTATGCAGATGGATGGGTGGAGGCTACAGATGGCCATAGAGGAAATAGGCAAATAAAATCTCGTGGCCACCCACCCAAGAGCATTCATGAAGGGTCTGCAGTTTCCACGTGGGTCTTTTGGCACTTCATATAAAATTTGGTCATGTGGGAGTTCAGCTTTTTTCTCCTATAACACAAAAGAAGTCAAACATTACAGAAATCTAATGCAATGCTATTATGGGTTGGATTATGTCCCTCAAGAAAAGACAAAAATGGGCCGGGCGCGGTGGCTCACGCCTGTAATCCCAGCACTTTGGGAGGCCGAGGCGGGTGGATCATGAGGTCAAGAGATCGAGACCATCCTGGTCAACATGGTGAAACCCCGTCTCTACTAAAAATACAAAAAATTAGCTGGGCATGGTGGGGCGTGCCTGTAGTCCCATCTACTTGGGAGGCTGAGGCAGGAGAATTGCTTGACCCAGGAGGCGGAGATTGCAGTGAGCTGAGATCATGCCATTGCACTCCAGCCTGGATAACAAGATGAAATTCCATCTCAAAAAAAAAAAAAAGAAAAGAAAAGAAAAGACAAAAATGCAACACCTTGGAATGTGACTTTATTTGGAAACAGGATTTTTGCAGATAGAGTCAAGCCAAAGTGAGGGCCCTTATCCAACATGACTGGTGTCTTTATAAAAGGGAACTTTGAACACAGAGACAGACAGGCACAGAGGGAAGGTGATATGAAGAGACGCGGGGGGACGACAGCCATGGGAAGACAAAGCATGTATCGAGGTGATGTTCCAACAAGCTAAGGAAGACAAAGCTCACGGGCCACCACTAGCAGCTGTGGAGGGGCCAGACAGATTCAACCTGCTGCCAATATCTTGATGTTGGATTCTGGCCCCTGGAGCTCAGACAGAATAAATTTCTGTTGCTTAAGACACCCTAACTGTGGTGTTTTTGTTATGGCAGCCAACGAAGCTTGTGTGAAAATCTCACCAAAAAGAGGATGGGTATGAAGGAAAAATGTTAATAAATATGTAGGATGCATTTTGGTGATTTGAAAAGGTAGCCATATTTGTCTAGAAAAGCCTTTTCCTGGGCAATTGGTATCATCACTCACGTGAAAAAAAGAATGAGTCAGAAACCTGGGAAACTGTGGGTCCTGGGATGCATGGCACTCTAGTTGCACAGACCAGCCTGCACCAGCCAAAAGCAGGCCTGTGATCAGAGCCTGGATGGCATCAGCAAAACCCCCCCAGCAGCAGTGACCACCACAGTCTCCTGAAATGCTAATGATCCTTCCTTCTGAGAGGCTTTTTCTATTAGTGGCTAAAGAAATTGAACATGAAGGATAATTTGGCTTACTTATTTTTAGAAGACTGTCTTCTTTAACCCATCTTCTGAGCCTTCATCTAAATAATCACTCCAAGCCTCCCCCAATGGCACGTTTTCCATTGTTTAGCAATACCTGTAGTGACTCCCCATGCCACAGAGAGATGACAACCACCCAGTGGCTGTCTCAACTATACATCCAACTCACTATTGCTCACTGTCTCTACCTCCCTGGGGGACAAGGTCCCTGGAGACACCCCTCCTATAGAGTCTCTTTCTGTCTTTGGGGGACAGAGATGTGTCTTATGCATCACCCAGCTTTGTTTGTAGTTTGGGAAGTCACACGAGAACCTCTCCCCATTGAGATTTAATCAGTAATTTCTTGCTGCTTCTTGTAACTTCACTGAATTGTAACAGGAGCGTTAATGTAAGTACAGGTTCCATCTCAATGCTCTTACCAAGGCTTTGTTTGCTCTTTTCCTCCTGTCTCCTAGGGACTTGCTGCATCCCTTGCTGACAAGGGAGCTTTCATGGATGCTTTTTGGACCAGAGTATGCATACAGTGCTGTCTTCCAGGTGACTTTGGAGTTCTTCCACGGCACATTTTGCATCCAAAAACACCAGATTCCTGCAAAGAAACTCAGCCCATTCCTGCAAAGGACTCAGTCCAGGGACAGATCAGAATATTCCAGTCCAAATAATCAGGATTTCAAGTGTGGTTTGTGTTTTATGGATTCCTTCTTCTGCTCTTCTTCCATCACTCATTAAAATATTTTGTGGCTCCCCAAGGAAGAAGAAATCCAGAACAGAAATAAAAATATCGAGTCCAGTGACCTGCCTTCAAACTGCTGGGAATTCAGTACTGTTGCTGCAGACCAAAACATGCCACCCCAAGAACACATTTGACTAAACAGTTACCCTTTTGCAAGAGAAATGTACATCTATCTGTAAAATCAATCTCCTTTTGGAAGGGTGTATCCTTCTCTGCACCAGGGAATCACTAGATTGACCCCAATATCACTAGAGATCCTTAATCAATGAAGAAGCATCCACTTAAATCTGGATTACAAGACTTAGCTTTATTTAAGGTACTTTTCCTGCTCATTTTTATTTTTATTTTATTTTTGAGATGGAGGTTCGCTCTTATTCCCCAGGCTGGAATACAATGGCATGATCTTGGCTCACTGCCATCTCTGCCTCCTGGGTTCAAGTGATTCTCCTGCCTCAGCTTCCTGAGTAGCTGAGATTACAGGTAGGTGCCTGCCACCATGTCCAGCTAATTTTGTTGGATTTTTAGTAGTGATGGGGTTTTCCCATGGTGGCCAGGATGGTCTCAAACTCCTGACATCAGGTAATCTGCCTGCCTCGGTCTCCCAATGTGCTGGGAATACAGGAGTGAGCCACCATGCCCAGCCTCATTTTTATTTTTATTTTTAACAGATGTGGGGTCTCACTATGTTGCCAGGCTGACCTCAAATTCCTGGGCTCAACTGATCCTCCTGCCTCAGGGTCCTGTGTCACTTAGATTATAGACATGACCCACCACACCCAGCTCCATAATCCCCATTTAACATGTGAGGAAACCAAGGTACAAACCAGGAAAGACACCTGTTTTGGTTGGACACACAGCCAGCTGGTGGCTGAGCTCAACACACTCGTTTGAACCAGGCTGGGTCCTGCACTCACGTTTGTCACCCTCCATGATGATCTGATGTACTTAGTCTCTCCAAGGAAGTCCTGAGTGGAGGTACTATGTCTTTTAACACTTGTAGAGCAGCCTCAACAAGCTTCACCTGGGACAAGCTGAAGTGCCATGGAGAATTCATTAACATTGTTTCCTTTGTATTGACCATTTTTACAGTAACCTTTGAATCACACAAACGGGTATTGGATTTCCATTCACAACAATGTTACAATGTGTCCCATAAGATGAATGGAGTTACTTCTAAGATTTTTACCAGTGGACTCAAGGGCTGCAACATACTTACAGGATCCCTCAGGAAGCAACCTATATATCCAACAAAATGGGATTGATCAAGTGAATACTGGGCTAGCTAAGTAGTGGAATGTTATGCAGCTATTCAGAGGGGCAAGAATGCTTCCTAAACAAACTATGAGAAAAACAACAACAAGATATATCATAAAATGGAAGCAGAAGTAAGGTGCAAAATGTGTAGTATATGCTACATTTGTATGTTTTTAAAAATGGAAAAGGGGGCGGGGCGCAGTGACTCATGCCTGTAACCCCAGCACTTTGGGAAGCCCAAGCGGGCAGATTGCCTGAGGTCAAGAGTTTGAGACCAGCCTGGTCAACATGGAGAAACCCCAGCTCTACTAAAAAACACAAAAACTAGCGTTGCATGGTGGTGCGAGCCTGTAATCCCAGCTACTTGAGGGGCTGAGGCAGGTGAATCACTTGAACCCAGGAGGCAGAGGTTGCAGTGAGCCAAGATCATGCCACTGCACTCCAGCCTGGAACAGAGGGAGACTGTCTCAAAAGGAAAAAGGAGAAAGAGAGAGAGAGTAAACAGTGGCTGCCTCTGGGGGAGAGAAACTGGGTGCCAGGACGTGGGGCGAGAGGCTTCACATCTTGGTACTTTTATTAGATTTATGGCTATTTAAAGATAAACTGAAGTTATCTTAAAAATAAAATTGCTTAATAAAAAGGAGAGCCGACAAAAGAAAAAGTAAGCTGGGACTGCAGGTGCACACAAGTGCACCAGGCTTTGCCCATTTCTCTTTAGGAGGTCTTTTCTCACATTCTTCTTTCTTTGTTTCAGAGAAGAATGGTATTTAAGCCTGGAGTTTAAACTACCCTTTTGAGATCTACTCTAGAGATTTACTCAACTCTCTGGGTCATTTCTTATGTGTACAGAACATATACTTGTACATACAATTACATTTCTGTCCATTTTTCTCTTGATAATCTGTTTTTTTCTTCCCAGGGGTCTCAGCTAAGAACTCATGAAGAGTGGAGGAGAAAATTGTTTTTCCTCACCTACACCATTTGTATGGTTAACAGAAAGTGTTCTTAGAAGATTCCTGCTTAAATAAATGGATTTCTTGATAGAAATTCAGAGAGACATAGAGGCCTTCAAAAAGTATGCTGAATGGGAAGAAAATGATGTCATAATTATCTAGGAAAACCCAGGTGACCTAGAGCTTCTCTGGTGAGACAGGCTCATGGAACAGAGAAGGGATGTCTGTCCTTCCTCCAGGCTCAGCTGGGGAGCATCGCACTCCCCTCACACCTCTTGTGCTTGCTGTCCCTTTCTGGGGCATCATTGCCACCTCCCCATGGCACCCTGTGTTGAGGACATCACAGCCCACATGCCTGTGACTCCTCCACATTCCATACTGCATCACATTGAAAGCCCAGTCTGCTTACAGCATGCCTTGCTACTAAAGAGATACTGAATGTCAAATTCTAAAATGCAACTTTTATTCTTACATGTTCAACCCTGTTGACAATAAGTAAAGCAGGAAAAACAAAATCGACTTAAAAAAAAAATCAATTCTGAGACCGAGTTTTGATTTCAGAGACAGAGTTATCATCCTTCAGAGGGTGAGTTTGGCTGTTTCCGAGGTGGAGGCTTCTTGCCTGGTTTTGTTGGTTTTGTTCGCTTTCAGTTTCTCGCCTTGTCTGCCCCTGCCCTGCTTCCCATCCATCCTACCGAATGCTGTGGTTGCCAGCTTCCTAACACCAATATCGGATCCTGTTTGAACACCTTCAGGCCCATTTACTGCTGTTCTCAGGATAAAGTCTTGAGTCCCCAGCATGGCACTCAAGGCCCTTCGTGTCTAGGTACAGCTAGTGCTTGACTTACGACCACGATTGGTTCCGACAGACCGGTCGTAACACGATTTGGTCGTAAGTTGAGTAGGCTATATGTACAGTACTGTGAAATGATGTTATAAAAATCTTTAAGTCATATTTTATCATAATTTTCTTTCATTATTGTTACATAGCACTTTCTCCATTTCGTGGATGGGCTCGCTTCGTTGCTTTCTTATAACTGTCGATCGCATGGGTGCAGAACCTTTCACAGCTTCACAAATTCTTTTTTTTTTTTTTTTTGAGACGGAGTTTCACTCTTGCTACCCAGGCTGGAGTGCAATGGTGCGATCTCGGCTCACCACAACCTCCGCCTCCTGGGTTCAGGCAATTCTCCTGCCTCAACCTCCTGAGTAGCTGGGATTACAGGCATGCGCCACCATGCCCAGCTAATGTTTTTGTATTTTTAGTAGAGACGGGGTTTCACCATGTTGACCAGGATAGTCTCGATCTCTTGACCTCTTGATCCACCCGCCTCGGCCTCCCAAAGTGCTGGGATTACAGGCGTGAGCCACCGCGCCCGGCCACGAATTCTTTCTTTATCTTTCAAAATCGTCGACACAGTCGAGTGTGATAACTTCGTATCACATGCGATCACATTCACTTTCTTTCCTCCTTCGTACTGCTTAATTACCTTCATTTTCCTGTCGAGATCGATGGCCTTTCTTTCCTTCTTGGCAGGCTGCGCGTAGACAAAGACAATTTCCTCTTGGTAGACATCTTGGGAGGGGTTTGATGAAAAATATCCAAGACACAAAACACAAATTGCTGTACCGAGTCTGGGATAACAGTTGAAATGGTGCACGCGGAGATGGTAGTGCTGCCGGAAGCTGGTCCGCACTGTCCTACGCCCAGCTGGGCAACGTTTGCGCTGCCAGACGCGGAGCAGTCGTGGCTAGCGATTGTAGTCATAAAGTCGAATGGCCGTAAGTTGCATAGGTCGTAAGTCAATTAATACCTGTACTTGTCTAGCTCTTCTGCCTCACTTTAGTTAGTTAATTCCTCACTAAACCCTGCCCAAAATTATTGGACTAATGTTCCCTGCCTGTGCAGTAAATGACTTAACCTTGCCCAAAGAAAGTTCTGACTTTTGTCTCCAGCTGCTGGGACATGGTGTGTAGGCCCTTGGCATTTCTGGTCTGATAAGGATGTATCTCTTTATCTGGGGCCTTGGCCACTGGACAGCTTAGCAATGTGCTCTGTGATGAGGGCTGTGGGGCATGCTGTATACGCTCCACTTCCGGAGGGCTGGAGGCTAAAGGTCAGCTGTGTGGGCAGCTGTTCATGAGGTCACAATGAGGGAGGACTGCAGACGCAAGCTTCCCTGTGGACAATAGTCCATGTTCACTGTCACCTGTCATGGCTGGAGGAGTCAGCACTGTCCAAGACTCTACAGGGAGAAGACACCTTCTCCCTGTAGAAGGTGTATTCGTCTGTTCTCACACTGTTAATAAAGACATACCTGAGACTGGGTGATTTATAAAGGAAAGAGGTTTAATGGCCTCACCGTTCCACGTGGTTGGAGAGGCCTGGCAGTCATGGCAGAAGACAAAGGAAGAGGAAAGGCACATCTTGCATGATGGCAGGCAAGAGAAAGCCTGTGTAAGGGAGCTCCCCTTTATAAAACCATCAGATCTTGTGAGACTTACTCACTATCATGAGAACAGCACAGGAAAAACCCACCCCATGATTCAATTGCCTCCTACAAGGTGCCTCCAGAGACTCATGGGGATTATTGCAATTCAAGATGAGATTTTGGTGGGGACACAGACCCAAACCATATCACCTGGAAACTGCATTTGGAACCTACCAGACTCTGCCCAGGTGCCTCTTCCCTTGCTTAATTGTACTATGCATCAATTCTTGGTAATAAACTGTAACAGCACCTTTCACTGCGTCCTGAAATTATATAAACTGAGAATGGTTTTGGAAACTTCCTGAATTTGCAATTGGTGCCAGAAGTGAGAATATTGCTGTGGACTCTGTTTCCTCTAAACCCCACACTACCTTACCACACACAAGAGCAGCACCAGGACTCCATTCCTGGTATTATTCTCTGTGTCTTTCTCTTCTTTTCTCTCTCCCACCCCTTGCTCTCCTCTTACAATTTCAAGGCAATAGCTGAGCTGGTAGAGTAGAAAGAGCACTGTTCTGGCCAGGGATTAGATAAATGAGGGGCAATGTCAGGTCTGAGTCATAAATGCTTTATAACCTTGCTTTTCTCTTTGATAATTAAAAAAAAAAAATTGGCCCTGAGCAGTTGATTATCAGTTGAGTGTCCTGTGTGTCAGTATTCTGAGTGAAGGGGCAGAGACCAGCCCAGCTCCTAAAGGACAAGTGGGGACATGCCCAGTTGACCTTCCTAATTCCACTTGGTCCCTTGAAACTGTGGCTGAGTTAATGGATGAAGCGAGGAAATCCTTCCTCATGATCACAGAGAATTTAATCCTTTTTGGACATTCTTGCTCTGTTGTCCTGCTGGAGGGCAGTGTCAAGATGAGAGTTCATTGCAGCCTCAAACTCCTAGACTCAAGCAATCCTCCTGCCTCAGTCTCCCAAGTGGCTGGGGCTACAGGCATGGATCACCATGCCCAGATAATTTTTTTGATTTATTGTAGAAGTGGGGGTCCCACTATGTTACCTAGGCTGGTCTTAAACACCTGGCCTTAAGTAATCCTTCCACCTCGTCCTCTCAAGGTGCTGGGATTACAGGAGTGAGCCGTTATGTAGGCATGACCACCCCCCAGGAGTGAGCCGTTATGTAGGCATGACCACCCCCCAGGAGTGAGCCGTTATGTAGGCATGACCACCCCCCAAAAGTGAATATTTTATTATCTTCCTTTCACATTCCCGTTAACTCAAGATTAATTTAGATTTTAAAAAAATTCTGCCTCACAATAGGAAATCACTTAATAACCTGCTATTTCCTGCAAGTCAGTTCTGTTTTGTATTTTGAAAAGCGTTTCCTGAAGCCTTACAAAAATACAAAAATGACATGAAATTTGTCCTTGTTTTATTGCTCCCTTTTGGCCAGGTCAAACTGCCCATTGCTTATCTAATGGGAGATAACAGCCTTCACAAGTGCCACCTGAAGAACGTTCAGAATGAAGCCAACTCAATGCCCAGGCCAGATACGCTGTGTTTATGCAGACGCCCAATCCATGGATCAACAGTTCCTTCTCCGACACACCATCCTTCCTCCCAAGAGGAGAAGCCTAGAATCCATATGTTGGCTCCATCAAAATGCAGATACCACCATATGCCACCAAAGATGGCACTGCAGTTGCCCTTGGCCGAGTTCCTGGTGCTTGCTGGTGGCGCATTTTCCAAGCACAGACATTTTCAAATCGACCGCTGAGAAGTTTGATGAGATGCTGTGATGCCAATAGAAAATTCAAGTTCCAATCAGGTGTTTGGGGCCAAAACTCAGTCCCTCACAGCTCCCGTGGTTGAGGCCACAAACTGGCTCCAGAGGCAGTTGCAAGTGCTCTGAGAGCATCTGAACACTCCTCCCTTTCAGAACCTGTGGCAGCCTTTCCATGCCTTGGCATGCAAATGAGTCAATGCTATACTTGGTAATGAGTGCCAGTCCTTTTTTGACAGGTTAATTAATATTCATTATTCAACAGAGAAGAAAATGCTGAGTTGTTTATCACTGGTTCATTAGTTTTAGCCAAATAAAGGATAAACATAATTACTCTCATAAACTACTGTGACAGAGCCTAAAAATTATAGGGCTGAAAATGGATGCCTTCAGGAAAGCCCTAAAAGAAACGAGGCCCTTGAGTCTCAGCAGATGAGTGAGAACTGGTGTCTATTGGCATGTGCGAACTCCCTCTCACTGGACCTGGGTAAGATCATTTTCCAAAAATGACTCCGCTCTTGCATTTTCTGTTGCCTTTGTCTTCACTGATGATTTCCGTCTTTGGGTGTTGGGGGCTCGTTACTACGGTGTGGTGAATGTGTAGGAGTTAAGCCTTCTGTAGACGCAAGTTCTCTGACTAAGCGAAAGGCGACATCAGACATCATGGAGCTTGGCATGGGTTGGTCTCCCTCTGAATTGTAGCTTCCTGACTGTGTTTTTCATGCTAAAGATTTAGCAGGCTTCTCCTCCTGCCTCCTCCCTCTCTGTCCTATTGTGATTTCAGCTTCAGCAACTCAAGACTTCAGATTCTGCTTCTTACGGACTTGAACTCAATCCTCCCTGTATTCACTGTTGGTGTCCCTTCCAAACCATGCGTTTAAACTCTAACCCCCGTGTGACTATGTTTGGAGATGCAGCCTGTGAAAGGTCATTAAGGTTAAATGAGTTCATGAGGGTGGAATTAATTCAGTGGAATTAGTGCCCTTAGAAGAAGAGACACTGCAGCTTGGGCACTCTCTGCAGGT